ATACTAGTGAGATGCTAAAAATAGGAAGCCTAATAAATCTTTAAGCCAGAGACTTCTGTGATACGTAAAAGGTGCAACAATTCATTCACGTCATGTCTCCTAGGGTCTCTGATAGCAAACATTATCCCTCTTTCAAGGACTATAGTCAGTTCTAGGGACATTAACTCCTTTATTTCTTTAGGAGGTCTCTTGCGAGTAGGGCTCATTACTTGGTGCAATGGTATTAACTCAAGCCGACGAGTGCAAATACAAGGTTCAAGTCTCAGCACCCCACATAGGTGGGACATAAAAAGGAGTCAGAGAAATTCCTGAGGACTTGGGGCAAGTGCCATCCTCTTTATGGGAGCCCATCTCCATCCTAAGAGTATCATGAGTAATTGGGTCATCGCATAATCTAACCGTCAAAAGGTAATTAGCTCTACCATTTGAATGTCTAATAGCTGTGAGAAGTATTAAATTTAGCTTTGATTGTTGAATTCTTGAAAATTCAGTCAAATGGGAATTTGATGCATTTTTAGAGACATAAAAAGGAGTAAGATTCGTGAGCTCTATAAGCAAGATGACATCAGATTTGATATAAAGGCAAATGATCCAAGTATATTGGAACTTGGAAGGTCATTGTAGCTCAGGGCCATCTAGTAATTTAATAAGCGAGATACTGATGTTATGGTTAAATGGATGAGAGGGTAAAGTGTCAGTTTTTGATCATATAATCAGCTTTAAAATGGAGAATAGATTGAATGTAACGTCTGCTAATGATCAAAGTAAGCCTTTGGCTAACTTGGGATCTTTTCCAGGTCTGCTAATGATCAAAATAAGCCTTCATTTTTTTTCTTTTTTTATAAGTGAATCATCCTGCACCAACAGAAGGGGGGGGGGGGGGGGGGGGGGGGGGGCGGCAGGGACCACGGCCCCCCTAAAAAAAAAAAATTTAAAACAATAAATTAGTATACTGCCCCCCAATACATTCAGCATATTAGGGCACACGCCGCACAAAGCCACACAAAATTTCCTTTCCTGCCTGCCTCCAGTTCGCAATCGTTAGCTCCAAGTGAGCGGATTCAAGACTAGAGTGGGCGAAGCTTAGGGCCAAACTCAAGCTCTCGAAGACGAGAGGGAGCGCCGGCAACGGCTCCGACTCGAGAAGGTGCACAATTCATCATCTCTTCTCTTCTTTTTCGCGGGTAGTCAGTGTGTGTATTCGATTCCGTCGCCAGGGGCAGAGCCAGGATTCAATGTAGAGGAGGCCATAGTATTAACAGTTTTACCAATATAATACAATAATATTTTAAGTGAAAAATACTTCATGATCGATTAGATGCATACAAAAATATATCTAGCCAAAATTTGGCCAATTTGTTTACAAAACAATAATTGGCGTATATCTAGTCAAATATGACATAGATATATACAAAAAGAAACCTGAAAGACTAAACAACTACTACAAAAGCTGAGCTTGACGATCTTTTAGAGAAGAAAAATCATCTATAATTGAATCTGTACTAAAAGTCTAAGCAATTTCTTTTTCAATACTGACACTCAAGTAATCTACAAGAAACTCATCCTCCATCCTGTTGCGCAATTGTGTTTTGACAAGTTTCATAGTTGATAATGCCCTTTCTGTAGTTGCCGTGGAAACGGGAAGAGTCACGACAAGATAAATCAACCTATCAATCAAAAAGTAGATTTTTGACTTCTTTGTTTCCACTAATCCTCTACATAGTTCAAAAATTGTTGACAAAATTTTCAAATGTGAATGAACAGGCACTTCAACCTCGTAATGTTGCAATTGGAATGTCAAAATAATCCTCTCTTGGTCTGTGAAATCTTGAGAATAAAATTCATCTACAAGCATGCAAATATCTTAAATGTTAAAGAACTTGTAACCATCTCTAGGATCCAAAGCTGAGCTGAGAGTAACAAGTTTCATTACCTTTTCACTAAATCTGTTATTCAACTCCTGCAATTATGAATCAATTGTGCCATAAAATATATCAATCCAAAAGTGGTGCTCAAGTGTAATATTCTCTTGTAGGTGACGTGACTGGCCCTTAATTTTTTTTGGTATAAGGATCACTCAAATCAGGCACAACAATGTTGTGGCGCTCACAAAATGATTTAACAATATCAAGTAAGTTGTTCCAACCATTTTCTCTCAATTTCAAAATAAGTTGTTTTGTACTCGAAACCAATTGCATAGCATTTACGATGTCTTGAGATTTTTGTCGCAAAGCTTGACAAAGGATATTAGTTATTCCCATGATATCTTTTATCAAATGCAAAATAAATACAAACTGAAATGATCTAAGAGTATTAAAAGCAGTATCAACATCTCCCCGACTCTTGAAATTACATCCATCTTCAATGATGTTTTCAAGAACTGAACATATTAGACCAAATAACCTTATCAAACTACAAACAGAATCAAAATGGGAGCTCCAACGAGCATCTCCAGGTCGTTGCAAGGTACCAATCTGATTAGCTCCTCGGCCAGTTTCAAGTTCATCGAGATCTAAAAAATGGGCAATTTCCATAACTTGAGCAGAATGTAATTCATCAATTCGTTTGCAAAAAGCTCCGATGCTATTGATAATGAAGTTCAACTTTGAAAAGAATTGATGGATGGCGATTACTTCTCTAGATGCGGCAAATAATGCTAATTGTAGTCGATGAGCTAAGCAATGCACATAATATGCATAAGGACAATCATTAAGAAATAATACTTGTAAACCATTCCATTCACCACGCATATTGCTAGCACCATTATAACCTTGACCTCTGAGATTGTGAACATCAAGATTATAGCGAGAAAGAACCTCACAAGGATCCTTTTCAAAATTCAATGAAGGTGTATCTTTGACATGCACAAGATCAAAGAAACGTTCTTGTAAAAAAACCATTCTTATCAACTTGTCAACGTAAAAAACCATCCTTACCAACGTATGAGGGTATATTAGTAAATTCACCATAAAATCTGTTAGGGAGGGATGAGGGGCAAAATAGGAACAAAAAGGGTAAAATCGGATTTTCAGATTAATTTTTTGCCAAAAAGTGATCAGAGGGGCTTATTTGATAAGTTGATAAGGATGGTTTTTCACAAGAACGTTTCTTTGATCTTGTGCATGTCAAAGATACAACTTCATTGAATTTAAAAAAAGACCAACAGGTCAGTGGCCTAGTAGTATTAGTCTCTTACTTTCCAAAGGGAGGTCAGGGATTCAAATCTCAGAAGAGACAAGTATATGTGAGTACCAACTAGGAAAAAAAATTTAAAAACGAATCTTTGTGCGGTTCTTTCTCACTATAATCTTGATGTTCGCAATCTCCGAGGTCAAGGTTATGATGGTGCTAGCAATATGCGTGGTGAATGGAATGGTTTGCAAGCATTATTTCTTAATGATTGTCCTTATGCATATTATGTGCATTGCTTAGCTCACCGACTACAACTACTATTAGTTGCCACATCTAGAGAAGTAATCGCCGTCCATCAATTCTTTTCAAAGTTGAACTTCATTATCCATAGCATCGGAGCTTCTTGCAAATGAACTGATGAATTAAGTTATGAAAATTGCCCATTTGATAGATCTTGATGAACTTAAAACCGGCCGAGGAGCTAATCAGATTGGTACCTTACAACGACCTAGAGATACTCGTTGGAGCTCCCATTTTGATTATGTTTGTAGTTTGATAAGGTTATTTGGTCCAACATGTTCAGTTCTTGAAAACATCATTGAAGATGGATGTAATTTCAAGGGCCGGGGAGATGCTGATACTGCTTTTAATACTCTTAGATCATTTCAATTTGTGTTTATTTTGCATTTGATAAAAGATATCATTGGAATAACTAATATTCTTTGTCAAGCTTTGCAACAAAAATCTCAAGACATCGTAAATGTTATGCAATTGGTTTCGAGTACAAAACAACTCATCCTGAAATTGAGAGAAAATGGTTGAAACAACTTACTTGATATTGTTAAATCATTTTGTGAGCGCCACAACATTGATGTGCCTGATTTGAGTGTTCATACCAAAAAAATTTAGGGCAATCATGTCACCCACTAGAGAATATTACACTTGAACACCACTATCGGATTGATATATTTTATGGCACAATTGATTCACAATTGCAGGAGTTGAATAACAGATTTAGTGAAAAGGCAATGAAACTTGTAACTCTCAGCTCAGCTTTGGATCCTAGAGATGGTTACAAGTTCTTTAACGTTGAAGACATTTGCACGCTTATAGATAAATTTTATCCTCAAGATTTCACGGACAAAAAGAGGATTATTTTGACATTCCAATTGCAACATTATGAGGTTGAAATGTCTGTTCATTCACATTTGAAAAATATGTCAACAATTTATGAACTATGTAGAGGATTAGTGGAAACAAAGAAGTCAAAAATCTACCTTTTGATTGATAGGTTGATTTGTCTTGTCTTGACTTTTCTCGTTTCAACGGCAACTACAGAAAGGGCATTTTCAACTATTAAACTTGTCAAAACACAACTGCGTAACAGGATAGAGGATGAGTTTCTTGCAGATTACTTGAGTGTCAATATTGAAAAAGAAATTGCCAAACTTTTAGTACAAATTCAATTATAGATGATTTTTCTTCCCTAAAAAATCATCAAGCTCAGCTTTTGTAGTAGCTGTTTGGTCTTTCATGTTTCTTTTTGTATATATCTATGCATATTTGACTAGATATAGGCCAATTATTGTTTCGTAAACAAATTGGCCAAATTTTGGCTAGATATGTTTTTGTATGCATCTAATCGATCATGAAGTGCTTTTGATTTAAAATATTATTATATTATATTAGTAAAACTGTTAATACTACGGCCCTCTTACACTGAATCCTAGCTCCGCCCCTGCCCACCAAGCATTTTAAAATAAAATTTAATATACAGCCCTCAAAACAGTACATAAATGTTTATCAATCTAATCAATTTAGATAATTACATACAAACATATATGTGTGAAAGCAATTATGTAAATTACCTTCCTAAGAAAATCAGGCCATTTAATAGAAAGCACTGTCCTGTTCGGATCATAAGCTGTCTCGACCTTCAGTGAAAATTTGAAAACACAGATTATTGCAAAAACATAAAATTTAAAAAAATAAAATAAAGTCAAAATCGAGTAGAAGCAAAAGCGTGCGATGTAAGCAGATGATTTTAGAGAGAGAAAGTGATGAGAGAAAACCTTAAACAGTAAATGACGACTCTGTGGAGACAGCAAGCCTCCCTGAAACCCTCCAACCAGAGGACCGTTGCCTGAATCACTTTCGTTTTCCAAACACCCATTAACGCCTCACTACTATCCATTAGATTAGATACAGAGAGAAACCTACAACCAAACTGTTTGAAGAGAGAGAAAGAGAGGTTCCGATTCCGATTTGACTAATATACGACCACAATATATATATATATATATATATATATATATATATATATATAGACACGTATATGTGTGTGTATACTAACTACGGAGTAATTTACAAGTCTATGAAACACCCATAACTTCCGAAGCCTGCCAAAACAGACGTACAAGAAAACATATTCTAAAACCCAAAGAACACACGCATTACAAGATCAGAACTCAGAAGACGAATGCACGTGTGCCAAAACCACTGACAACTCCCTATTATACTTCGAAATTATTAGACGGTGGAGATCTGTTTCGGTGGAGTTAAATTAGGGGTCGCAATTCGTAGGGTATTCGTGTGTAAGTTGTTGCGTCAATTTAAGGTATTTTGTTAAAAAGGTCAACGTCAACCTGACTTATTTAATAATTATGTCATATTTTTATTGTTTTAGATATTTATTAAAAAAAGTTAAACATATTAACTCGTTTAATAATTTATTTATCAAAATTAAATATTATATTATTTAAATATTTATAATACTCAATTAAATAATAAATATTATAAAAATATATATATTAATTAAAGAACTTATTAGGGCTTATGTTAAAATGATCTACTTATCTGTCGTAATTGGGTCTAAACATGTATTGAGTTATACGAGTGATATTAATACGACTACAAAACTCTTAGGTTACGTTTGGTGTGCACGAATGGAATGGAATGAGAATGAGAATGAAACTGGAATGGAATGAGTATTACCATTCTAATATTTGGTGTGACACGGTGAATCGTTATGGAATAGAATGATTATTACTATTCTATTGTTTAGTTGACTATCATTAAATCTAGAATGGAATGATTTTTCTCAAAAATACCATTTTTATTACTTTTTAATAAAATCAATCTAATTAATACTCTGTCAGTACAATTTTATCCAAAAACGGATTGAATACTTAACCTAAGAAGCTGATGTAAAGGCTAATATATATATATATATATATATATATATAGAGAGTATGGTTGAAGGTCCTGCAACTTTTTGTCCATGACAGGGTATATTCAGAAGAGAGGGAAGGTAAAAGACCTTTACCACGTCTAATAAAGAAGCTCGAGAAACGTGAAAAATGGAATATGAAAGATTTTTGATCTATGCCAAAAAATTTTGCCTTATTGGAATCTAATGAAAGGCTTATTGGGAATATTACAAAAATATTTAATCTCACTATGGAATGGAATGGCCATTCCATAGGTTTAGTAATGGAATGGATTCTCACTATTTCAATCCTGCATACCAAACAAATAAATGGTTGGAATGGACATTCCATTCCATTTCATTCCTGCACACCAAACGTAGTATTAGTTAAACGGGGTCTAAACAGGTTACATTGTTAACTCCTTAACCCCTCTTGTCGATCCGATCATCATCCAAACTTATTTAAGATAAATCTAAACCCATTTATCTCATGTCGTATTCGATTCGTGTTGACGGGTCATGTCAAATTTTGTTAAATTAAACTACTCTAATTTTTAAAAAATATATATATTTATTGTGAAGAAAAAGTTTGAAATATTTATTAAAAAATAACATGAATTTTAATTGGACTACGCTCCTAATTAGAGATCTCTTAGAATATGTCGTCCAGTCCACTTAAAACCTCCTGTCCAATTAAAATTCTTCGATTTAAGCATAGTGGAATGTATAAGAGTTTAATAAAATATTAAAATAATAATAATAATGCCTATATTTATATAGGTAAAGTGCAAAAAAAACTCTTTAAATTATGTTCCAATTTGCAAATAACTCTCTTAAAATATATTTTGTGCATAATATCCCTTGAACTATCACATTTTATTGCAAAATGCCTCAATATCTAAACTATTTTTTATTAAATGATCATAATGTCATTTCTTATTGAATTATACTTAATTTATTTTTTATTTAAAAAAATTATGAAAAAAATCATATTAATTTGATGACATATTCTCCATTAAATATATGGAAAAAATCATATATTTTGTGCATAATATCCTTGAACTATCACATTTTGTTACAAAATGCCCCAATGCCTAAACTATTTCATATTAAATGATCATAATGTCATTTCTTATTAATTATACTTAATTTATTTTTTATAGAAATAAATCATAAAGAAAATCATATTAATTTGATGACATATTCCCCATAATATATTTTCTTCTGAAGTGTGAAATATCTCAAAGACGTATAATTTTTTTTGTAGAGGCAATATCATATTTGTATAAATGATATATAATAACTTTGTAAGGTTTCCAAAGCCTTATACTTTGTACCTCATAAATTTGAACAAATCTCTCTTTAACACCATTCATTAACGATAGAGATGCAGAGACTTTAAATCCTACGCCATTTTCTTCTTTATACGTTGCTGATTTCCTCTTTGCCCTTCTTTTGCCTTCTGGAATCAAACATATATCCCTTGATGAAAACTTTTTTAGGTTCTGTTTGTGGGCAATGCCCTAATGTGTGTGAACGTGAAAATTAAAACCCACGGCATCATCTAGATCATCAATAATTCATTAAAGCACCAAAATGAACACGTGAGTCATCATTTAAGGATTTTAAACCTTCATCATTCAATGCATACATATCCCAAAAATATAACAATTTAAACCAAAAAATAATAATTTTACAAAATAATAAGGCCTCCATGACCATGATTACAAAAGCTTCACATGAAACTAACAAAAGAATAAAGTTAAATTACATGATTCCATTGTTTATGTAATTACATTCCAAAAGATATCAAATTACATCAGCAATTCCTAAGCTTGCGGGGGTGCTTCTTCTACAATTTATTTGCCATGCCCTGAAAATGATAAATAAGGAGTGAGCATAATGGCTCAGTAAGAAATGCCTAAGGCATCAGCTTTAGGCTCCTTTTAGTTAACACATCAAGAATATATATAAGAAAATCGGGATCATACACGGGAATATTAAGAGTTTAATCAATTCAAGTATATCAACGTGTCATGAATGCAATGCCTTCTCTACCATAATCCTTTCCCAACACAACACACACCGAAAACCACTAACCTACTTTATCGAGGCGAGATTGATTGGATATCCCTAGTTCCAAATCCAACAACTATTTAGGGCCAAGCAATCAATGTTACACATCCAAATCCAGTACGCGCTCCCTCTAGGTCGAATTAACCCTGGGCTCACGAAACTTAGTTCCTTTCATAAATTAATTTCCCAACCTTTCCCAAAATACTTTTTTTTAAAATCATTTCAAACTTATTTTTCCCCAACCATGCTTATGTCATGAATGAATTCATGCATCATAAAAATTAATACCTTCATACTTTCATTCCCAATTATTTTATAGAGCATGCTTTACGTCAATGAAATCACATTATCATGATAAATCTAACAATCTCAATATAGCAACGTGCAATTAAAGCATGCTTTCCAACAATTCTAGCATTTCAAATATACACCCAACAATGTATAACATAGCAATTTCATCAAGAATATATATTTTGCTTTAATGGTTAATAATCATCATTTTAAGCAAACATAGTATGAAATCATGTAAGGAAAACTTAATTAGAAGTTAAAACATAATACTTTAGACATCCCTACTTCAAAGATGAACCCAAAGCTCCTAGATCCAAATCTCGAAATCCACTTAATAGAAGTAATACAGGTATAGAAATGGAGCCCTTGAAGAGTAGAATCAACTTTCCTTTTTGCACTTTGTCAAGATCTTACTCTAAGTAGATCAAATTTTAGAGAGAAGTTTGAGATTTAGATAGAGAGAAAAATGGAGGAGAAGAGAGAGGTGGCCGAGAAGAGAGAGGGAGAGTGATGATGAGGAATGATATGTGGTCCAAACATGACCCTTATTCCCTTTTCAAATGAGAGGCCCATGCTAAGTCACCCCCTTTGACTTCCAACTTTACCAAAATGACCTCCCTTCACCAACTAACTAACGCAAGCCACAAAATATGTCTTTCCACTCACTAACCACATACCCACATATATATATAAATATAATACTATATATTTATATATATACAAGCACACCAATGCCCAATAAATAAATAATTGATAATGGAAAAAAAATAATACCAAGACCCACACAACGCACAATATGATGTATGAAAAAATAAATAAAATAAATACCAAAAATTCAGAAAAAAATCCGCGACATTACAATCTACCCTCCTTAAAGAGATTTCTTCCTCGAAATCTACCATCTTTAAGAAGAAGGACCACAACTTCTCACTTTCTCAAATAACATCACAAAAAGCCTGTAAAGATGCCAGCTCATAAACCTTACTGCCTTTGGCACTGGATGTCAATAGGCAATCACACGCTACTGCAGTAAGTGACATAATGCTCACCACCCTATATGGGTACCCCTCATATAACATTCTACCACTGGATTCTATACCTGGTTTAAAATCGATACCGGTACATTCTATATGTCAACACAAGGCTCTAAAGCCCACAAGAAAATGATTGCTAGCCCACCGGATACAACGACGTTTGACCTCAACTCGTCCTTTGAAGGATACGCAAGACCCGAGATAAAGAATTCCGACCACTACATACTCAGTCCCAAGCCCACGTCTACACATTCCTGACAGACCACACATTCGCTACCTAATATGTAGCTACACCGTCACATAACCGTACAAGTAATTACCAGTCGCTCTACTCAGTAATCATCACATTTAATACCTTCCAAGATAGATAAACAGTAAATCTCCCAACGACTACTTAAACATAAGTAACTTAATCTTTAAAGCGCATTATCTTGCACCCAGGACACAAATTCCCAAAACAAGACCTTCAATAATCAAATGATCGAACCATCAACTCATTGGACACGTAGTCCTATCTAAAGTACCTCATCATCCGAGACCAACTACATTAATCCATAAAATACTACCATTTCCAAGAGAAAATATTATTCAGACTAATTCTACACCGTCACACCCACATGACGCACAATAGCGCTCTCTCACTGTCACTACTCACTCAGAATAGTCATTGACCTTTAACCCGACATCATGCTAAAGAGGGACTGATTCAGGAAAAATGGTTAGCTAGGCCATTCTCATCATTAATCCAGTCTCAATACCGGCGTCGTTCCCGTCCTCAGGTCCAAACCCCAAACACAGTCTAACACAACTACAAAACAGATGTAACATTCACTCACTATCCATTCATTGTTCTACATAACCTCAACCATCACATCGTTATACCCAT